AATAAAAACTTTTGTTAACCAGATATCCACCTTTTTTTATTTTTTACATACAATTTTTTATCTTTGGATTGTTTAGACCAATTTTATGAAAATTGGTATGTATGATTAAGTAGAATAGAACCAGGCTAGAAAAAGTATTTTGGTCCAATTCAAAATTTCAAATTTTCGAAGGTTTTAATATGTAAACTTAAATTACATCAAATGGTTGATCATATGAAAATATTAATAACGCTTTATTTTCCACTAGCAGAGTACCCGTCCTTCGTACGGGGTTGGAATATAAGTATAAAATGCTTATTGCAGTTATACTCAAGCTTTGCGTTTGCAATAAGGGAGGACACACATTGATAAAATTTGTTTTTTTTTAATTTACAATATTCTATAGTATTACACATCTACCATAGCCATAAATGTTCTACCACTTCACCTAAGCAATACAGAAAAATAAATTATCAACAATTCGCAAAATATCACAAATTATTCATAAAATGTAAAACAAACAAATAACTGTAAACAATCCTACTTTGACAGTTCTCATTGCGAATCACAGTTTTTTGTTGCTGCTTAGTTCAAATTAGCTGTTTTCATAAATGCAAAAAAAAATATAGTGCTGTACCCTGTTGGTAAATCTTATGACTTTTTAATGCTTTTCCATATCATAGAACCAACTTTTTAGTTGAAACAGCTGACTAAATTCTTTAATTCCCTTTAAATATGAATACTCATAAGGTTAACATGGGGAATTACAGAGCCACTGGGGCGGAGCCCGAAAGGATTTTTGAGATAAGAATATGCCTATATGTTAATCGGGAATGTAAGCTATCATCATGCCAAATTTCAGCCCAATCCGTCCAGTGGTTTATGCGTGATTGAACTTCAAACAAACAAACAAACAAACAAACAAACAAACAAACACACAAACTTTCACATTTATAATATTAGTATGATTATAAGTTTCTTATCAAATGACACCAAGTTCAAAAATATCGAATAACTAATAGTAATGTTTTATTCTAAAATGAGGTAGAACAAGGCCAAGCCGTCAGCTTGAACCTCATTTACAACAAAAAATCAAAAGTGCTTTTGAACTCTTATCATGAAATCGGCCCTTTTTAGCGAATTTCCCTATAGGGAAGTAGCTCCTGCCGTCATGTCTGTGTGTCCATCCTTCCATGTGACGATTAAAGAAGACAACAAGGTAGAGGTGATTTTCTTTTTAAAAAAGGTGATTACTTTTTGGAAACGAAAACTGAATACTGAGGCAAAAAATGTAACCCCAGTTCACTTAGACGTCAGCCTGGTTGTTTGGTTATAATAAAATAAATATAAAAAAAGTTTTTCCTAATTTGCCATACCACAGATCAAAATATAAAGATTGTTGTTTTTCAGGAACTGGAACTACATTTTGGAACTTTAAGTCTGGGGAGTCTAGAGGCTATGTCACAATACAATGTAACACATATATCTATTAATTTGTAATTTCACAGTCTTTAAGTGTAATATTCATCTAATATTGCGACTCGGTCCCTGCAATCAAGCCTTGCTTTGCAGAGATCTAATTTCAGTGGGTTTATTGTACATATTCTCTGTTTTGTAGAATTTCTGAGATAAGTAGATTTGTTTGATTTGTTTGTGGGGCTGAACCCTGAAGGTTAGTAGTTCGATTCCCAGCAGGATTTGTCTGGACCTGGATGCTATCTGTCATCTGTCTTGGTGTTATTAATGATGGTGCCATCCAACAAAAGGTCGACTTACAAGATTTGAACCGTTTTCTTACAAAAAAAAAGAAACAAAATAAATACGTCAAAGCAGAATAATAATTAATACTTTAATATATAAAGATTATTTTGCACCACAACCTTTCTATCCAGTCATTTCAGTTATACTATGCCCATTGAGTGATTCTTATCAACTTGTTATGTTTAGGTTTTTACCAAATATAACAGTTCTAGTATCAAATATTGCATAATTTAAACCTTGCATGCTAGAAAAAACCCTACGTTTTGCTTAACTCTTCTGGCTGAGTTGAGTTACTTTATGTCTAAAATAAAGTGATGATTGAATCATAAATTAAATATAGACTATTTATTTTATATTCTTAAACCCAATAACAGTCTTATGAGAACACATTGTGTGTATGACATGTGCTTGGCATTCATTTGACAAAACTACATACACTGAAAGTTAATGATCAAACAAGGGACGTGAGCACAAAAAACCTTCCATAAATATGACCCTTATATAATTTTTCAGAGTCATTTATGTCAGTGAAACGCCATCTTTATGAGTAATGATGATGTAATGTCCCCTAATGTTCTTGTTACCGATAACTCTCTTCTAACCTTCAACTATTTAATTCTCTTGATAGTGTTATAGAGTTCAAAATCAATTGTCTATATATTAAATATATGATAAAATAAAATATATTTTTTAATGCCGGTAAATTATATTTTTTGTTAATATTGTACATAGTTAAATAAAAATATGTGTTGTTTGTCCTCTAAACGAAATGACTTAAAGAAAGATTAAGAGTTTGATAAATTGTTTGAGACCTTGCAATTTGATACTGGTAAATCTAATTAAATAAAACAGTCATTTGTCATGCGTGTTTTAACATTTAATCGTGTAAAAAATGGTTTTCAATAGATGGGAGTAAATAGTTTTCAATAGATAATAACAACTGCTAAAAGATTATAGAAAAAATCTCTTTTCTTTATTGTTTTAACAAAGACTAATGCACTATGCACTAAGACTATGCAGTATCACTTTAAACACATTTTTTTTAAACCTGAAACCTTTAGAATCGATCAGAAAATATGTATATAGGAGACAAACTACTTTTCTAAAACAACAGAATTGAAATGTTGATCCAACCGGGAGCTGTATGGTAAAAATTAAATTACCTCTTAAAAATCTTGCCTGTGTTTCTTTAACTGTCTGAAACTATTTTTTTACATACCAAAGGTTATGAAATGAAATGAAAAGATGAAATTAAATGAAATTATGAAATGAAATTAAATGATTCATCGTCGTAAAAACTATGTACAAAGTTCATGACACTCGTCAAAAGAAAGATAGAGAACCCTCAATTTATTCTGATACAAAATGTATGTCAACAATTTAAACTCTCATAAAAAGCTTTTTTATTTCAATATCCTATGGTAATTTGTTTAGTTAGCCAACAGTATTTCAGGTAAACTATTTTCAACTTTGGGTAATGTTTGTTCTATACTTAGCACCATGGAAAGTTATGTACAAGGTCTATGAAGTTTTGGATATCGGAAAGACTACTCTGACTCAGGAGCTCTATATCTTAAAACACTTTTAGAAATAGTAGAAACATTTAAACACATTTTACGACCATTTCTTGTCCTACAATAATATATGAACACTAAAATTGAATTCAATACAGATTCAAAATAAAATATGTTTAAATCTCTGTGACTATTAAAATAAAATTTAGGGAATTGTACACTCAATCCCATTAATAGTTGACGGTCCTGAACATCAGGGTATACAGTTTTCGATCTAATTAATAACAATGTGTAAAAACATCTTATTATTTAAACATATGTAATGTTATATGTTCAAGAATAATGTTATCTTCAGCTAAAATATATAAATGGATTGTTGAGCGAGTGTTGTCGTGCCCAAGTGTTATTAAGTACAAGATCATCCGTTACAGAGGCCTACCTTGCTGTTCGTGACAGACCAGCTTTGACAAATTGTGTAAAAATTGTAGGCTATCACAATAAATCATAAAATCTCAGAGACCAAAAAGTAGTTGGATGATTCCCTGAAATGTGGATTTAAAAGACAAATTCAAACAAACTGGCCAATAAACACAGAAAGCTTAGCTACTTATGTGGTAATGTGTTTGAACCAACTGAAAGTAATGGACATTTTCAATTAAAGCGTATACAAAGTCTGACTTTTAAACATTCACTTTCATGGAAAACAACAATTCCTTAATAGCAATCAATTTTAGTTTTTTAGGCTTAAGGTTCGTGTATATGCATGTTGCTATGCTGTTGCCAGAATTTTTTTTATAAAGAAGGATGACCTATTTTAACTTTTTTTGACTTAATGAAACATTTCATCTTCATCCTATCCTTAGCTGTGTCAACATCACTGCTTCACGAGGAAGCGCAAGAAATGTATTTCGAGATCAGTTTTTTCTCAACTTTATATGCTACTTGCAATGACCGTTTACATACTGGTGTCCCCATCTTAAATAATTGATTGATTGATTGATTGATTGATTGATACACAGTCGCCAAGGTTGGGGAGTAAAGTTGCTACATGCTCACGCCTTGAGGTCGAAGTTCAGCCAATTACTTGATTGACAAATACTTCTAATATTTTCCTAAGTAAATTAAAAACACTATCGTTGTTTGTTACAATAAAAATTATATTTTTGTTGATTGCCAATGTTGTCAGGCATAACTTGAAAATGTTACGTGATTCCGTAACTAACTTTCTTTTTAAGTTACAATGACTGTTATTTATTACTGTTACCACATTCAAAACTTTTATCTCCAAATTATAGTTTATACTTGCACTCTTAATTCCAGTTATCATTTTGGGGTGTATTTTTAGATATGTACCTTTTTTTAACATACCTTTATTTATATCTCAAGTGTGTAGAATCTCTGTATTATATTAGATAAGTCTGGCCAAGGTAAATTTATATAATTATGAAACTCTTCCATTCCTTGCTTTATGAAACGAGGAATGGAAAATAACCATATTAAGAAAATAATTTACAATTTAACTAAATGGAACTTTATTCATCGATTATTTACATATCATACATTTTACAACATCAAATGTTTCCACATAACAATTAGGATTTGACTTTTAAGTTTTTTTTTTGTTTTTTTTTTATAACACATACTTTTAGTAATCTTTTTAATCTCTTGGCAGGTTTATAATGCATATTGAAACTGTACATCGGATGCTATAGGCCACATAAATTATATGTTTTTCAGCAAAAAACGTGAATTTATTAAAACAGATTTATTTTTCTAAACATGATGTTGAAAACAGAAATCAAATACTGTTATATAGTCTTACAGTAGCTAGAATCATTTACCAACACAATATCCTAGGTTATCCTAGGACATAAATGTATCTGCAATTAAGAACCATTTCTCCCTAAGCTGTTCAAAATCTCAAAATTGATTCGATTTTTCTATTAGGAAAAATTAATATTGTCACTACTCTGAATCAGAAGCGTAGAGGTGAGATGTTTGCTGGCCTTGCCTGTTACCCAAGTATTTCTCTGTGATTCTGGATATTGACAAGCTGTGGGATGGAGTTGATGGCCCTTATGAAAAAAAAACAAACATATTCATCACTCAAGACAATTGTAATACACATTTACATCAAATTAATTCAAATTTAGCAAACAAGAGCTTATATTTCTAAATATAATTTGGAAACCTTTAGTCAATAAAGTCAAGGAAATGTTTTAAAAATATTTAAGTCAGGCGGACAACTTAAGTTGAATGAAATACATAAATATATTGAATAAATGTTGAAATAAATGTTGAATAAATGTTACTCCAAGCCTATATGTATTCCTGGAAGAGGAAATACAAACAGGAAAAAATCTATGTTTAATAGAAGATTCGTTTACTGGACCCTTTGATGTTTAGTAATTAGTTAATTTCTTTTTTAACTTCATTCCCTATAAATAGTATGTGCAGAAATAGTGATATGCTTTTTGTCAACCTTTTCGAGATTATGTTTTGTTTGGTCCCCTCAAACAAAACAAGTTTTCAAAGAAATGTCTGTGTGTATAGATGTGGACATGTGTAGAGAGCTACAAACTACTCTATTAATGCAGGTCCGATTAAGATGAAACTTGGTATGTTACTAATCCATGGTATCTCCGGCGTTTTTCATGTTTTAGATTTGTTTTTTTTTAATTTTTCCATAAAATAAAATTAAAAATTCTATTTACACAAAAAAGCTCAAACTTTTGATCATAATTTTGTATGTTATGGTCCTTTTAACTCGAACAAAATTGAACTACCCACAATGTAGAAAAAAGTACAGTTCAATGGCTATTGCAGTTTTAAATTATATTGTATTAAATTGTACAACCATCCCACCGTGGATAATTGATATGATAATGGGAGAAAGTATGAGTCAGTTTGCTAATATCGGTTATTTATACTACACAGACTGAAAACAAATTTTAACACATAGGCCTATTCAAAATGTTTGAGATACTATTTGTTTGTTGAGAATAATTACCCATTTTTAAAATTTTGTAAATTTAAATTTACTTTTTAAATCAATCATGTCTAATATTATCAATACATTTACCAGTTGTTTAGCTATAAATATGTTGGTATTAGGGCAAATGATATTGATTTACAACAACACCTCTTAGCTGTTCTATTTGTAGTATAACAGCAGCATTGACTATAAATGAATATACTAAATTGAAGATTCTTTGTATATTTTTGCATATGTGGAGGAATGTTGTAAATATATATATATATCAAAGAAATTAGTGTTTTTTTCTTTATTTGAAAATTATGCTACTTATTGTTTTGTTGTCAGATTCTCTATCAATCAATCAATAAATCAGAACAATATTTTACAAGTGCCAATAAATATATGTTAAAATACTCACACTTAAACTCGATCGGTTTATTTCTAAAAGGTAGTTCATCCCAAAACTCCATTCTAGAGGGGAGGAATGGTTTTTCCTCCATGGTAATATTGGTCTGTCCGATACTAAGATACTCAATGTGCGGTGTGGAAACTGGAGCCCAGTGGACATCCAAGTGGTTACCGTTGGGGTCACTGAAACAAACCAATTAACTCTTTGCGGCGCGGGAAATACTGGTGTTGGGTGACCCCAACCGGCGCGGAAAATTTTTTGTTGAAATGTTTGTTAATACTTTTGATCATGAAATATAATTAATTGTTCTTTAATAGGTGACACTGCATCTTGAAATCTTAATATTTTTCATGTAGCTATTTTCAGTAAAATAAAGATATTTATATATGAGTCTTAAGTTCATTGCACTATTCTGCCATACTGAACCTGTTTTACTTAATTAATAGTGTTTAGAACTATATAAAGTCCTAAAAAAAATAAATTACAATTTTTTTTTGTTATCACTTAGTGATAAAAGGGTGTTACACATATGTAACACCGTGCAGCATAGGGAACATATTTTATTGAATCCCAAAAGTATTAAAAATCAAGTTAGAGGGTTTTCTTTGGGGATATTATAAATACAAATGTAAATTACAATATAATAAAGTATATATTTGACACATAGGCCTATACAATATAGAACATTACAATATCATATAAAAAAAGTTACTTAGCTAAATCAAAGTAATAAAAAAGTTACTGTAAATATTTTGATAAAAGTTTCTATAGAAACGTGAATAAGTCGTCAGAGCAACAATAAGATTACGACTATAGTTCGGCCGCTTAGAATAAATGTTTTTCTTTACTTTCTTCGGTGAAAGTCATGAAAACAATTCTTGTTTAATTTTATGCACAATGGCACTTGGCAAACATTGTAGAGCCAGCTTGTCAGTACTTGTTTTTTTTTTTTACTACATAGACCGCAGCGTCTTCTTGTTGTTCTGATGGCCTGATGGGAGGACTCAGTCTTTCTAATTTCATCTGAGACCTTGGGTGTCCAGTTAGGTATGCGAGGAGAAAGATGTGTACCTTTACAGAATCTTTCACTTACGAGGCCTAACATCACTTGGCGTCTGAATGTTTTCAAATCCAGTCTGATCATTGGCAGGCAGTTGTGCAAAATGTAAGCGTTTACAATCGCAGCGTCTATTAGATAAAAGAATATCCTGTGCCACCATTTCTGACTTTTTCTACTGATCTCATATGAAGACTTCAACTGGTCGAATTTATCTACACAATTCATGTGCATGTTATAGTCTTGCACGGCTGTGGGACAAGTTACTGTTACTCGGGTTCCATTTTTAATCCTCCTTTTTACTGTTGTAACTTCAAGTGGATCATGGAAGTTAGATAACAGCAACACTGGCTTATTGTCGATCCATTTGATTGCTGTTACTCCTGTGTCACTGACTTTCCAGTCATGGTCTCCTCTACTCATTTGTGTTGTCTCTTTGAATTCAGGCAAATTTTTCCTACCAGCTTGAACAGTTCCACAAGCATTTATGTTCACAGACTTCAAATCTTCCATTAGATAGTAGGAAACAAAATAATTGTCAATGTATACTGAGTGATGTTTGCCCTGAAATCGTTCAGTAAGTTTCTTGACAACTGTAGGACCTAAATCATATTGGACCACCTCCCCAACTTTTCCAGTGTACACCTCAAACTCAACTATGTACCCTGATTTGTCCGCCAGCACCCACAGTTTATATCCTCTTTTGATTGGTTTTTTTGGCATGTACTGTTTTAGGGAACTCTTGCCCTTGAACTTGATCATCGATTCATCAACGGCCATTACTTGACCAGGGCTGAAATTGTCTCGAAAATTCTGAGATAGAGCGTCCAGAAATGGCCGAAGTTTGTAGAGCTTGTCATAGTCAACACTTCCTCTCTCAGGTGCAAAAGCATTGTCATTTATATGTAGGTTGCCCAACAACCAACCAAATCTTTTGACGGACATTAATTTGCTGATAAATGGGTCATTTAGGTCTGGTTCCGACAACCAGTAGTCTCTGTAGCTAGGCGATTGTTTGATACCCATCAAGATATTTATACCTATAAATACCTCAATTTCTTCTTTTGTAGTTGCAATATACCTTTTGCCTCCCTGTTGTGCGTACAGGTTCGTTTGAAAAACAAGCTGTTCAATCATTTTGTCAGTAATAAAACTTTGGAATAACTTGATTGGTGTTGGGTCTTCTATAGATAATATATTTCCTGAAGGCCCACATGGCATGTTCTCAACTGTGCCAGACATTTTAGGTATGTTTTCGTGTGAAGTGCTCCATATCGGTGGAGGACGAACCTCAGGGCCATATTTTATTTTAGGTTCTTTTACTGAGTTTTTTTTAGCACGCTTAGTTCTAAGTGGCGAAGGGCTAGAGGATGAACTTGTAGAAGGCTGTGAAATGTCTGATATACTTTTTCTTTCAAGTATATTGGGGCAAGTTTTCCCAACCTTATTCATTTTAGGGAGCTCCTGTGCATTTCTTTTCACACCCTTTTTTGGGTTTTGTTCATTTTTTTCAATATTTTTATCCAGAGATGTTATAGGAGTCGTTGACGGAAGAGAACTCAAACTTGGAATCGTAATTATAATAGGTAAATTGGTTTCAGGTGTCTCGTTGTTGAGGCTTGGGCTGTCGATATTAGTGTCAATATGCTCAGGTGCTGGGATCATCAAAGGTGGACTTTGGATAGTAATGAGCTTGTGGTGCCACTAAACTGTCTAACACAATAACCATGTGTTCTGTATTTACTTTAATCATTTGTTTATTTTTTTGTTATCCTAGCAACCTAGGGGAATAGGCACACGGAAGGGACTAAGGCTAAAGGTGTAGTGACGTCATATCTCTAGTGGCTAATGTCTTCTCTTGAGGCGACACGATTACCGTAACGAAACGATGTGATTTCAGCGGCGTTCGTAGCATAGTTGGTAGCGTTTCGGATTGGTGTTCAGGAGGTCCCGGGTTCGAATCCCGCTCGTAGCATTAACTTTTTGTCCACAAATTTTTCGTATCAGCAAGTTTGGTTGGTTAGGTTAGGTTATGACAGTTAAATTTTATAATACTAAATTCTAAAATTAATTTTATAATTAATTAAAAATTATAAGTAATTATTAATTAGATTTTTATATTATCAGCAAGTCTGGTTGGTTAGGTTATGTTATGACAGTTTAATTTTGAAAATTAAAAATTTATTTTATAATTTGAAACAATATTTTATAATTAAAAAGTTAATTTTATAACTAAAAATTAAAAAAAAATAATAATTTTAAATTATTTCAACTTAGCAGTTCTAGCGGCGAACGCTGACACTACAAGATATGTTAGCCTTAGTCCCTCCCGTGTGCCCTACCGGCAACCTAGGTAACAACAGTTTTAACAACAGTTTTTCTGATTTGAATCTAGTGGATTACACTACTTAACTATTCTCTGTAAATTAAATGACCTTTTACTAGAATGATTTGTTTTAGTGCGTCTATCCGCTAGAAATGGTGACCCCGACTAACAAGTAAATTATTTCAAACTAAATTGATGTTTTTCCTACATTAAATTTCAACCTTCTACCAAAACTTCATTTATTTTTCACCTTTCCCCAAATTATCGTTTTAGGCCATGGACCAAGAACTTTTGGAGCGCCTAGCTCAATTAGAGAGTGAGAATGCCAACCTAGAAAGACAACTTCAAGATTTGAATGGAAGACAAGAACAAAATCACATTTCTGTACATCCTCAAGAAGCCAACCTACCTGATCTTCCACCAGTTCTACCACAGCATCAGCCAGATCATACAGCCCATTCCGACGAACGACATGAAGATCATCACATCCACCGGGTAAGCATAAAACTTCCACCATTCTGGAAAGAGAAACCAAGGCTCTGGTTTGCCCAAGTTGAGGCTCAGTTTACACTGGCTCACATTACGAGTGAAACAACTAAATACTCGTATGTAATTTCACATCTTGATGAGCGCTATGCTAATGAAGTGGAGGATCTTATAATAGATCCACCTGTTGAAACTCCTTACTCTACTCTTAAGTCTGAAATAATCAGACGGTTGTCTCTATCTGAGGAGCAACGCATTCGTCAGCTGTTGATGGAGGAGGAACTAGGTGACAAAACTCCTTCTCAGTTCCTACGCCACCTTCGATCACTAGTAGGTTCGACCACAATCCAAGATAGTTTACTGAAAACTATTTGGATGCAGAGACTTCCTGCTCATGTACAAAGTATTTTGCAAGTCCAAACAAGTGCCCAAACTGACACACTTGCAATTACTGCCGACAAAATTCTAGCAGTCCAACCTAACGCATCTTTTTGCCATTCTCTCACTAGTATGCCTACATCTTTGAATGCCGTTAATTCACCAAATCCTAAATCTTCATTTTCTGATGACCCAAAATTAACTGAAGTTTTATCAAAATTATCTGCTTTGGAGTTGCAAATGAAAAATATGCGTAAAGATGTTGATTCCCTACGTGACAGGCGACCTAGGTCACGTCAGAGGAGTTTGTCTAGTAGTCGTTATCACGCAGGTAGCTCCTCTGACACTACAGAGCAAACCAATCTATGCTGGTACCACAAGCGTTTTGGCTATCAAGCTGAGAAGTGCATTCCACCATGCAATTTCACTTCTCCGACAAACTCCAAAGGCAGCCAGTGATGGCGTCAGCTGACTGCCAAGCTGGAGGGCGCCGCCTACAAATCGTCGACCGTACAACTAATACAAAATTTTTGATTGACACTGGATCCGACATATGCTGCCTCCCTAAATCATTCGTTTGTAAGAACCAAAAGCATATAGAATATGAACTTCGTGCAGCAAACAACTCTGCCATTCACACCTACGGTATGATGACATTAACATTAAACTTAGGGCTGACACGAGCTTTTACATGGAATTTTGTCATTGCTGATGTTAATACAGCAATTATAGGCTCTGACTTTTTAGCACACTTTGGATTGCTTCCTGACTGTCGTAATCAACGGTTGATTGACAGTGTAACAAACCTTTCTGTTCTTTGTCAATGTACCTCAATCCCTCATTTCAGCATAAAAACTATCACACCCAATTCTCCAACTTCATCAATACTGGCAGAATTTCCCATGATTACCCGACCCTCTGGTACACCAAGAAAA